TCCAATATCAACGAGACTTTTTCGTCCCAACACAGAGCTCATCAGGGTCACGACAGACATAGCAGTTAGCCTTAGGCGTTGCTGCTGAAATTAAGGACTTCTCCAACCAGAAAATAAGCCCATCTGAGAAGCTTCTTGAAGAAGGAAGCAGGTGTGGAGTCTGAAGAACCAACAAGTGATGATGACATACAAAAGAGCACACCACTCCACAAAACACATACAGAACTGAAGAAAGACAGACTGTAAGTGCTCAGAACAGGAAGGCAAAACTCACCCAGAGAAACTGAAAAAAGAATGTGACACTGTGGCATAAAAATCCACCAAAGTTAGATGTGGGACTCCATGGTAAAGCAAGGCTACTGCAGATAAGTATATAACCAGGACAGATCAAGAAAGGGACTTTAACTCCCAGGTATAGGGACACAAAGGACAGGAGTAGACTCTTGGGTGAGTGTTCCACATGTTAGATAGCTCCATTGTGTTGTAGGACACAAACAGACTGAGCAAGACGACCAAATAAGGTACGATCCCAGGGAGGAGATCTGGGAAATGAAAGTCCGTGCTTCCTCAGCAGACATTGTGGAGACTGAGGCTTAGTGTTATAAACGCTGTCTAGTTATGGCGGGAAATTATCAACTGCCATAAGAAACCCGAATTTATATCAACAAAGTTGAATTCAAGAAACAAACAAGTAGAAACTTTAATTTGAAAGTGATATTAATCAGTGATCAAGCACGATCAAAAATTGTGCAGCACATGGAGAACATAAAATACACGTCTATACCAAAGAATGCCAATTGAGAAAATGAGGATTGTGCCACAAGGGTAGAGGAAGCTAGTATAGAGGGTGCAATGGAGGGTGGTTACATGATCAGCACATGTTGGTGCAATGATGCAAAAAATATAGGGGTATAAAATATTGGTGCACTTTTAAAAAGTTTACCAATGCTTAGAGGGCAAATTAAGGTAAAGAGGGATGAAAGGAGTAGCACTGTTATGGAACTCGAGGAAAGCTTCATCAGAAGTTGAAACATTGCCCACTTTTAAACTTAAGGAAAACCTCAGCAGGGGTCGAAATATTTCCATATCCAAATTTCATACTGATGTACTTCATTAAACATTTGTTGTTGGTGTGTATTGTAACAACCTAAATGTGAAGATCAGAAGCTAAATAAATATGAACCATTAGTTTGTATCAATAGTACTTTTAAATCATTTGATTTTTTTTCTGTGTGTGTTTGCATATTTCTCAATTTTTAGTTCTGAAAACAAATTGGAGTAGGAAGAAACATTTTTAAGAATTAATGTCAAACAATTGAACTTTTGATTTTAATTTTAGAAGATATATTCTTATTTAGGAACTAGTAAAAAGCACTGAAACGTAAGGAAAAAAACAATGTGAATTTTTTTGTTTGGTTTTGGACCATGTCACTGTGGATTTAGCACAGAGATCAAAAAGTTATCCACCTTGAAATTTACAATGTATGTTGATCAAAGTTTTGACATACCATACTTTGCCATTTTACAGTGATTTATTGAGAAAGTACATCTCAAGAATATGAGAAATATTTTGTAGTTTCCTGAGGAAAAGGGCATCATGTAGATGCTTATATGAATTTAATCTAAAACTTTTAGGCAAAAAGAAACATAGTAATTATCTCTTAGTTTTATTCAGGAAATTTTGAACACTGTACAGTACAAACAGAAGTTGCAGAGAAGACATAAGTGTCAAGAAATTTGTATTCATATAAATATGTTGTGGATCCGAGCTTTACTTTAGAAATTTGTTTCCCTAGGGCAAGTTGTTTTTAAGTTATAATCATTTGTTTATAGCTGTATGATGATCTTAGTCTTAAACTGATCCTCAAATTACAGAAAAGTATTATTTTCAAGACACACTCTTCACCAATCTACATATGACAATGTTGTTTTAATACATAATTACTTAAATAAATAAAATTAATTTTAATTCAACTGACTCGGTTTCAAAAACAATCATATTTTTGAACTACTTTCTCACATTGGTTCAGTAATCAAGATTTTATTACTTAATTCTTTCAGTTGAGATACACATTTTGCTGCATCACCTGTCCAATAATAAAGACCAACTGGAAGCTCTCTTCCAAGCCTGTGTACTTCAGTGGCTTCTGTTGAATGTTAACAATGTGGTGTGCAAGGTTTGTTTGGTACTTTTATCTATTAATTTTTTGTAATGGTTTCAGTGTAACTGATTCTATGCATTACATTTTTAAATGAATGCCAAAAAAGTGCCTCTTAAATTATTAGCAGTTGAAATAGCTTTCGTAGTATTAGTTAAGCTTATCAAAATGAGTGACTTAAACAAAACTTAGCTTAATTGTATGAAGAAAAAAAGACCAGTGAGTTATGACACAGTACAAAAAAATCTAGAAGGC